GAGAAACCACACAGCCCCTCCTTCTCCCTCCTTCTCCCTCCTGGCTCCCTCTCTGAAAAATGCTTGAGGCATACAAGCCACTCAGCCCCCCCCTCCCTCTTTCTGTCTGCTCTCTCTCTCTCCCTCTCTCCAGTTAAGAAAGAGGCATACCAAATATTTTTTGTAGAAAATTACATTTATACACACGATAATGTTACTGTCATGGAGTCATATGATCACAGAACTTTGAGTTAGATTATAAAGAGGCATTGTTTTATTCTTTTGACCATCTCCAAACGTCTAGACAAGTTATTAAACATGTTTCCCAACGTTTTGGTGATATAGAATTTAAACTGATCTTAAAGAACAGTATACTTTTGGAAAAATAGGGCTTAGGATAGCAGTTGAATACAGATTTGGTTTTCAGAATTTAATGTTTAAAATGTTAATAGTAATTATTTCATAGGTTTACTTAGATTCGTAATTAATCATTGGTTTTGTATTGTATTAACACACTTGTTTGTGTTTCTTGTTTGTCTGTTTTTTCTGAGAAAACTTCTGTCTGTTTCATTGGCCGATCGCCAAAATCGTCCCTGCCACAAACCACAACCGAGCATCATCATCATCATCAGCGTCTCCCCCTCTCCCTGCGGGTCGCAGGGGGCAGCATCGGCTGCAGCAGCTAACAGGAACTCTCTCGAAGACTCCTCCTGCCTGTGAGGAGGCAAAGAAAAGACCACAGACTTTTGCACAAACTGGGTGAAGTTATGTGCAGGAAGAGGAACGGTGTGTGAGCCGAGCAGAAGGACACGACACATTTGGGTGCGCCAGATATGAAAGAAGAAGAAAGACATTATGAGGAAAAGATTGAAAGAAGAAGAAAGTGATTGAAAAGAAGAAGAAAGACATGAGAAAAAGTTGTCGGAAGAAGAAAGAAAGTGATTGATTGAAAGAAGAAGAAAAAAGACATTGAGACAAAGACATTGGACACTTTGAGACAAAAGACACTGAAAGACGCCATAAGAGGAAGACGTGGCCAGGCTAAATGAGACAGACAGAAGGTAAATATATACAGACAAACAAACGCACAGAGACATGTGGAATTTAAGTCATATTTATACATTTAGCTAGGTCATTCGTTCATAACACTACATTTAGCTGCATGAAAGAATACAGGACAATCGTTAAAATTAATTAGACTCTTACTTTAGAATGAGACACAAGGAGATTAAAACAGCAGTATATTTAAGGTAGAGGACCTCTATTATTGAAACTATCATTGTTATTTAAAATTATAGACGCGGAGAAGTTTAGAATTATTGATTTTGACTGCATCATCTTGGTAATACGGATATTTAACGCAATTTTTCAACCTCTGAACCGTGGCTCGTTTCTCATTTAAGAACAATCACATGCACAGATGAAACTGGTGCTAGAAAGAGAACTGCAGCTTTTAATGGACGCTGCATTTAGTACAAAATGGTTTGTTCAGACAATTAAAGTTTGAAAAATGATTTAAAGCATTTCTAAATTTTGGCTAAAAGGTGATATTGGATCGTTTCTGATAACACATTGACGCAACACTGTTCATTGGTTGAAAACACGGATGTAGGGACATTTTAGGAAATCTTTTATGACATGTTTCTCTTCCAAATAGCTAAATTAGAAACAATTAGGACAGTCATGTCTTTAATATAACTGTTGGAAGTTTATTTGAGACATGATTGGTGCAAGTACGACAACACACATACAGTAGGACAATGGTCTTTTCTCCACATGAACGTGAAACAAAGGTGAAGTATTAAAGTTTGAAACTAATTTACATTTTTAAGGAATCCGAACTGGCTTTTAAAAAAAAAAAAGGGAAAAACATTTATTGCACGTGCATGAGTTTTTTTTTTTTTTAAGTAACAAGAGCTCATTAAAAATATAGGGGACACAGTCTGTGATAAGCCCGAGTAAAGACCACGTGGTTTAAACACTAGAGTTTGAAATGGATCCTTTTAAGGAAAAATCTCTCAAAGCTTTGCATGTTCTGCAGGCTCTGAAAGTTGCAACAAGGGAAATAGCTCATGAGACAATTGTAATTGAACATGGGTGAATGTTGACAATGCAAAAAGTTAATGAGATAGATTAATGAGATCGATTAGAACCAACACAGATTCAAAAACATTTAAAAGCATTTTGGTGAATTTGGGTATAGCACAAAAGTAGATCTTTAGGTAGTTTTGAGAATTTTAAGAGCTGTCGATTTGTCAGCAACAGATTAGAGAATCAAAATACCGTTGTATAGGGACTGACCCCAGAGAAACCTGCTAAAATAGATTAGCTCCTGTACGGATAATACCAATTTGATTAACGATGTACATTTATCCCAAACGGTCTGAGAGAAGGAAGTGACAGCACTTCCTGGTTCAACAAAATGTATTTGGAAATGAGCAAAGCCCCACGAAATGGCCCAAAGCCACTGATAATGGAAGCAAACCACAGTATAGATAGATTTATTAGATAAAAACATATGTTTAAGAATATGGCTCAATAAAAGCAAAGATGCAAACATATTGGTAAATAGATTAGAATAGTTTAAACTATAGTGAATAGTTTTAGTGCATACATTACAGACGAGGTTGAAGAAGAACAGAATGACAGCAGTGGTCATCAAAGAGTTTAGTGAAGGAATGTTTCAATGTGGTTGTGTGTTGTTTGTCTTCCTGTATTAACTCTTCACAGATATCGAGCCAGAACTAGGATGATGGAATCTCCCCAGTCCCGTCACCCAGAGAATATTGAAAGATTGTGACCTATTGGTTAATATAGGTCAAAAGAGGGACTGACGAATATTCACAAAATGCTGCACATCAGACAAAGGAATATGCACTCAGGAATCATAGAGATGACCAGCTTACAAAAACCAGACAATTATTGACTCCAAGAATAAACAAATGCTCTCTCCCACTCTCGACGAGGGCAAAAGTCCAACACAATCAGGCGCCCAGTGGTGGGGGGCATTGTTTGCTCAGGTGGAGATGGAAGACCGGGTCCAGACCAGGACCAGGGGCCAGACCAGTCCCACAAGTGACGTCATCAGACGTCTTGATAAAACTGTTGGTTTGAGTTCTGGGGGGAAGGTCAGCGCAGGGGAAGAGGAGAGGGACATATTAGTTGTAGGAGCACTTTTTTGTTGAATATTCTGTATCTGATTGTAAAGATAATTAAATGCAGATGTTAAACTTGGATATCTTCGTCTGATTTCTGTACCAAATTGTGGACACGTCAGCCAAAGGGAATTATTGGCTTCACGTGGAAGGCAGGTGTAGTAGTTAGTTGTGGATGACGTCAAGAGTTTGCGTTGAACGGTAAGGTCGTAGTTTGGCGAAAAATGCGATAGTAAAGTATTCTGGTCTGGTTCTATCAAGATATTGAAGTTGTAGCAAAAGGAATGTTTGGCAAATGTAATCGCTAGAAAAAATTGTGGCGCTACTCCCCACGGGCTCCGTTAGCGGCAAAGGAGATGGCTAAAGCTAGGCTAAAGGCTAAATGCTAACGACTCACTCGGGCTCATTACATACCCATCCATCCATCCATCCATTTTCTTCCCCTTAATCCATTTCTGGGTCGGGGGGGTGGCAGTCAGAGCTGTACCCAGAACACAGAGCACCAGCCCCTCACTGATCCTCCTGCAGGTGGTGAGTCCACAGGAGCTGAGATCTTTCAGTGGGGTCTTCAGGCAAAGTGGGGTTAAGTGTCTTGCCCAAGGACACAACGACAGCAGTCATCAGTGGGAGTTGTGAAGTAGGTCTTGAGGTGGGCTCGAACCCACGACCTTCAGGCTCAAAGGCCAATGCTCTACCAACTGAGCTACTGTCGCCCCTCTCACTACATACGTCACAGTAAACTCAGATCCAATGGTTTCAATCTGTAAAAGGAGTTAGCCCCTCCCACCTGTTAACGGAGTCAATGGAGCAAATCCAGACCTTAGTACGAAATGTAATTTGTACTATGGTGTGGTACGACCAGGCTACAAATATTCAGGTTAAGAATGAATTTCTTGCCCGGTTTGGACACCTCTGCCTTAAAGAGCCGCTTCAGAGCCCTTTACATTTGCAGAGCACTTTGTGGAGAACCAGAGACGAAGCAGACACAGACAGATGAAGTGAAACTCTACAAATGACACACAAGACTCAGGCTGCCCACGATGACAGAGTTTCTCCTCATAGTTACAGGCTGAAGTTAAGGATCCTGCTTTGAGAAGCCATCAATACTTTGAATAAATGTAAATGAATTCAGACCTGTGGTTTACGTTGTGGTCAGAGAGGTACAGGGAAAGCAGAGAGGGAACATTCAAAGCCACAACTAATAGATGTGAATATCAAAACAACCACAGAAGGATTATATTACTTTATGATTAAAGTTAGTTAGATTTGACTTTTTGAGAGATAATCAGAAAGTTATGGTATGGGTAAAGAATAAAGAAATCCATATTCAACAAAGATGTCTGACTTTCTAATCTGCCATATCCTGGTCTGTTTGGTGGAGAGTCGCCAAAGCCTGATTCGTTACGATAAAGACGTCTGGTCAAGGGCAGTGGGAGTGAAACGATGCTTTTTTAAGAAAGGAAAACATTTCAATTATGAGGCAAATTCCATCATCCCAAAATTGTTATCATCCACAAACATCTGGGCCGTGTAGGATTGTATCAGAGAGGCAGAAAAAGGACAAATATCCAGTCTCATGAGCAGTTAGTGAGAATACATGATGGTGGAAGAATCAGCCCAACGACAACGACGCACAGTTCAACAGGACAGAACTAAAACACATTAAAACATCATATTTTACAATTTGATGATCCACTGTACAAGAAAGTTTCTAGCTTTCCTCAGTTTTGGGAAAGAGTGAAGAAATAAAATGAGCAAGGGCCACACAAAAGCGAAACCTCAACACCACAACTTTCCAAATACTGCTGGGTTTCCCCCAAATGGTGTCAGGAGACGTGTCATTGTCCTCCAGAAAACAGTATCAAGCTACGGCTTCACTAAATATTGGGTGATTTCTGAGGCCTGGAGGTTTAACGTGATACACCGCACCAGCACCACAGAAAGATCAATGCTCAGATCCTCAAAAGAAGCTGCAGGGACGACCATCAAATGCACGTTTTTGCAGAAAGACGGGTGAATTCCAGACACGAGGATGCACGTGTTATTTCCACAGAAGCTCATTCGACTGTGTTCAATGGAAAATAGTCGAACCAGTAAATTTTTTGCACACTTCTGTCTTATGCACATTCTGAGTAATTCTAGGGCTGGGCGATATGGCTGAAAATCACAATATAGGTGATTCATATTGGTCATTTTGTTTTATTTTTTAACCTAAATAAATACATTTGTCGTGTCGGCTAACACAAGCAAGCAGCACTGGCTTACAGTCACGGGGGAAAGAGATCTCATGCTGGAGGCATATGCTCACAGTGTCCCCCATTGTTAGTCCTGGTTTAGTCCTGGTTTAGTCCTGGTATAATCCTGGTATAATCCTGGTTTAATCCTTGTTTAATCCTTGTTTAATCCTGGTTTAGTCCTGGTTTAATCCTGGTTTAGTCCTGGTTTAGTCCTGGTTTAGTCCTGGTTTAGTCCTGGTTTAGTCCTGGTTTAGTCCTGGTTTAGTCCTGGTTCAGTCCTGGTTCAGTCCTGGTTCAGTCCTGGTTCAGTCCTGGTTTAGTCCTGGTTTAGTCCTGGTTCAGTCCTGGTTCAGTCCTGGTTCAGTCCTGGTTCAGTCCTGGTTCAGTCCTGGTTCAGTCCTGATTTAGTCCTGATTTAGTCCTGATTTAGTCCTGGTATAATCCTGGTTTAGTCCTGGTTTAGTCCTGGTTTAGTCCTGGTTTAGTCCTGGTATAATCATGGTTTAATCCTGGTTTAATCCTAATTTAGTCCTGGTTTAATCCTGGTTTAGTCCTGGTTTAGTCCTGGTTTAGTCCTGGTTTAGTCCTGGTTCAGTCCTGGTTCAGTCCTGATTTAGTCCTGATTTAGTCCTGGTATAATCCTGGTATAATCCTGGTTTAGTCCTGGTTTAGTCCTGGTTTAGTCCTGGTATAATCCTGGTTTAGTCCTGGTTTAGTCCTAGTTTAGTCCTGGTTTAGTCCTGGTTTAGTCCTGGTTTAGTCCTGGTATAATCCTGGTTTAGTCCTGGTTTAGTCCTAGTTTAGTCCTGGTTTAGTCCTGGTTTAGCTCTCTGATATGGAAAAAGTTAATCTCTTGTTTTTGCCGCATGAGTCTCCGCCCACTGCCTCTGCCGCACATGCTGTTCCTCACACGCATGTGCATGACCATTGACACGGCTTTGAAACACCATCTATAGATCCATGGATGCTACGAAGGGTGCGGTCATAGACTGTTGCGTTTTGTTGTTGTTGCATTTCCCAGAAAGTTTTTGGTACATGGTCGGCCGTGATAGGTCAAGAAGCCTCTGCCTACATCCCCCAGAATGCAGTGCGCTTCAATCTCAGCTTTACTTCCAGTGTTTACTTCCTGTGTTTACTTCCTGTGTTTACTTCCAGTGTTTACTTCCAGTGTTTACTTCCAGTGTTTACTTCCAGTGTTTACTTCCTGTGTTTACTTCCTGTGTTTACTTCCTGTGTTTACTTCCAGTGTTTACTTCCAGTGTTTACTTCCAGTGTTTACTTCCAGTGTTTACTTCCAGTGTTTACTTCCAGTGTTTACTTCCAGTGTTTACTTCCAGTGTTTACTTCCAGTGTTTACTTCCAGTGTTTACTTCCAGTGTTTACTTCCAGTGTTTACTTTCAGTGTTTACTTCCAGTGTTTACTTCCAGTGTTTACTTCCTGTGTTTACTTCCTGTGTTTACTTCCAGTGTTTACTTCCAGTGTTTACTTCCAGTGTTTACTTCCAGTGTTTACTTCCTGTGTTTACTTCCAGTGTTTACTTCCAGTGTTTACTTCCAGTGTTTACTTCCAGTGTTTACTTCCAGTGTTTACTTCCAGTGTTTACTTCCAGTGTTTACTTCCAGTGTTTACTTCCAGTGTTTACTTCCTGTGTTTACTTCCTGTGTTTACTTCCTGTGTTTACTTCCAGTGTTTACTTCCAGTGTTTACTTCCAGTGTTTACTTCCTGTGTTTACTTCCAGTGTTTACTTCCAGTGTTTACTTCCAGTGTTTACTTCCAGTGTTTACTTCCAGTGTTTACTTCCAGTGTTTACTTCCAGTGTTTACTTCCTGTGTTTACTTCCTGTATTTACTTCCTGTATTTACTTCCTGTATTTACTTCCTGTGTTTACTTCCTGTTTTTTCAATTGATATGGAACACGTGTCTATCTCTGTATATATCGTTATCGTTTCATCGCCCAGCCGTAAGTGATTCTATCCGTGCCAAATGTGACAAAACTCTCCACTGTGAGATCAGTAAAGCTTATCTTATCTAAAATGCAAACACAAGAAGAATCATTAATTCTACATTTTTCCCCTGGAGAATGACGAAGCTTTGTGTGATAATGGGTGAATATGAAGAGATGAAGCTGTACCTGTGCCGTCTACACATCTTCACATCTGGATGAAAAATCAGCCTGCATCTGCTCCATTTGTTTTATGTTTAAGTGAAGCTTGTCGAACTCCCCTGAACAAATATGTAGTATATCTGCACCTTCTGAACCTAACAGCTCGGACCGCCTGCTTCTCCGGCGAGAGATGACATTTCGGAGCCATCTTCCACAGCCAAAGACAATACCGTAAACCAGAGAGATGTTTGGACACCAGAGTCTCCTTGGACCACTGCCTCTTCTCTGCACCTCGCTCTGACCCCCAAGTCGGGAAGAATAACACTACAAGCATGTCCACATCATCCAAACAGCTCCTTCGATGTGCAAGTGCCAAACAGTAAAACCTGCTCTGTCCAAACCCAACAGTCAGCCTTCTGCCACAGAGAAAGAATCTACAGCCATCTAATGTGTAAACGTATGTGAGCACACCAAGAGGCTGCAGGGGTTTTCTGACACATGAAAATGACTCCAGAATGGTATAAGCATAAAGTTCTACAACAGTATGGAAGGATATCTGTAAACCTCATTAAAGGAGATCATGGGCTTGTTCACACTAAAGGTACAAAAGTGTGACAGAAATGACATTTTAGTAATCAGAAGATATTTTATGTTTTTCATGTTTCCAAATCCCTCCTCTGTCCTTTAGAAGTTACTAGAACATACTGTTTTATACATTAGACAAGATTCCTGTAGCGGCGCTGTTTTGTATTTGTAACGGATTTGATGGATTGAGCTTTGCGGAAGTTTGTGACGTATTTTCAGATCCACATTTGATTCAGAGATTTTTATTTTTTTACACAGAAACAAAATGTTTTAGAGAAAACATCACGTCTGTTACACATTTTTCATGGTCATTTATATATTTATTATTGGGTTTTTTTAATGATTCCTTTTTAAAGTGATTTCCTGCTGTTTGTGTGAATCTGTGAAGTTCATCTTTTTCAGACTCAGGACGTTTTATTTTCTCTGAGTCTCAGAATGATCCAATCAGAGGCTGAGCTGGGTTTAAAATGTGGCCAAAAATGTATTTGTCAAACTTTCCTTTTGATTTTATCCACACTTTCTCTCTGATCTGTCTGTGTTTGGAATCTTTGTTCTAATCTATGAAAGTCATTTTAGTTTTTGAGTTATAACCTTTAAAGTCCAGATACTTTAATTGACACTTTATTATGAATGCACTCTCCGACTGTCTTCAGAGGGTTGTATGGCACTTCTCAGTGATAGCTGCATCTGCCTTTCGCTGGAAATGTTGAGTAAAAGGCCCATTTTAAGTTTAATTTTTATTTTTTTTAGTGAGTAGTATAATGGTAGAGTCAAAGCTGCTATCCATTTGTTTTCAATCTATTTGTTAGATATAAAACAGCAGGAGATAGTAAAGAAACAGATTGAACGACATTTTATTATGGAAAGAATTTGCTGATGCACATTTCTCCACAAGTGGTGTGCTAATTATAGTGCAACAGTCTTAACATGAATAACTGCTTAACAACTTACTTAATCTGGTTCTCGTTTCGTTCATTTGTTCACCGAGTCCTTTGGCCTCAATCGACCTGTTAGGAAAAAAATATGTTAATGTTAAATACAAAGATCCATTCAAGATAAAAGTCCTTCATTCAAAGCCAGGTCTCGGGTTCGTCCGTCCGTCTGTTGGTGAATGCTTTGTGAATATTACTGTTGTGTCATTAAGGTTTGATTGAATTGAGAATCTGTATAAATCAGAACTAAAGTCTGTGGAAGTGAAACCAACCTTTGCATGACTTGTGTCTTGTTTTCTTCGATTGTCTGACGGTCTTTGTGGTCCCTTAAGAAGATCTTGAAAGCCTCTTGTTTTCCCATGGACAGTTTTGGACCTTAAATGGAGCAATTAAACACCGATTAGAATCCAGATGATGCTAATTGTGTTTATGTTACACTACACATCTTGTAACTATGGGAAATCTCTACACATCCTGCTCTTTATCTGGAGTTCCCACATAGAGTCTGGCAGCCAGATGTCGCGGCTCATATCAGTGACCTCCCACCTACGACTAATTACACTGAGAGAAAAAGGGCTATTAGCAGCATTAGCTGTGCAGCGCTAACACACACGTGTAAACAGCTTTTCTGGTCATGTCAGCACTAAACGGTAGATATTCCACTGCTCATAAATCTGAACTGGTACCTGCTGATGTGAGGTTTCATAAGGAGCTTGATCCTCAAGAAACCTCTACATCAACAGGATTTTTAGTGAGTTTTAGAGTTTATTCTAAACACATACGTTAGTGCAAAACAAATAAAACAAATGTATTCATGAGGAAATCATTTCACGACAGAAGGAATGTTGTTTATTGATTTCCACAAAACCATCAACCCATCGAACTCTTCTAAACACAGCATTCCAGAAACATCTAGTGTGATGTGACATCATATTTAGTTGCACCAAAACACTTTGTGGTAAATGAAATCACTAGGACATAGTCTAACTTTCCTACTTACTTCCAACACTGTGCATACTGACAAACCTCAGAGGTTCAGTGAGGTTCAGTGAGGTGAGTGTACATGTCTATAACAGGAGGTTCAGTGAGGTGAGTGTACATGTCTATAACAGGAGGTTCAGAGAGGTTCAGTGAGGTGAGTGTGCATGTCTATAACAGGAGGTTCAGTGAGGTGAGTGTACATGTCTATAACAGGAGGTTCAGTGAGGTGAGTGTACATGTCTATAACAGGAGGTTCAGTGAGGTGAGTGTACATGTCTATAACAGGAGGTTCAGTGAGGTGAGTGTACATGTCTATAACAGGAGGTTCAGTGAGGTGAGTGTACATGTCTATAACAGGAGGTTCAGTGAGGTTCAGTGAGGTGAGTGTACATGTCTATAACAGGAGGTTCAGAGAGGTTCAGTGAGGTTCAGTGAGGTGAGTGTGCATGTCTATAACAGGAGGTTCAGTGAGGTTCAGTGAGGTGAGTGTGCATGTCTATAACAGGAGGTTCAGTGAGGTGAGTGTGCATGTCTATAACAGGAGGTTCAGAGAGGTTCAGTGAGGTGAGTGTGCATGTCTATAACAGGAGGTTCAGTGAGGTGAGTGTACATGTCTATAACAGGAGGTTCAGTGAGGTGAGTGTACATGTCTATAACAGGAGGTTCAGTGAGGTGAGTGTGCATGTCTATAACAGGAGGTTCAGTGAGGTGAGTGTACATGTCTATAACAGGAGGTTCAGTGAGGTGAGTGTGCATGTCTATAACAGGAGGTTCAGAGAGGTGAGTGTACATGTCTATAACAGGAGGTTCAGTGGGTGAGTGTGCATGTCTATAACAGGGTTCAGTGAGGTGAGTGTACATGTCTATAACAGGAGGTTCAGAGAGGTTCAGTGAGGTGAGTGTGCATGTCTATAACAGGAGGTTCAGTGAGGTGAGTGTACATGTCTATAACAGGAGGTTCAGTGAGGTGAGTGTACATGTCTATAACAGGAGGTTCAGTGAGGTTCAGTGAGGTGAGTGTACATGTCTATAACAGGAGGTTCAGTGAGGTGAGTGTACATGTCTATAACAGGAGGTTCAGTGAGGTGAGTGTACATGTCTATAACAGGAGGTTCAGTGAGGTGAGTGTACATGTCTATAACAGGAGGTTCAGTGAGGTTCAGTGAGGTGAGTGTGCATGTCTATAACAGGAGGTTCAGTGAGGTGAGTGTACATGTCTATAACAGGAGGTTCAGTGAGGTTCAGTGAGGTGAGTGTTACATGTCTATAACAGGAGGTTCAGAGAGGTTCAGTGAGGTTCAGTGAGGTGAGTGTGCATGTCTATAACAGGAGGTTCAGTGAGGTTCAGTGAGGTGAGTGTGCATGTCTATAACAGGAGGTTCAGTGAGGTGAGTGTGCATGTCTATAACAGGAGGTTCAGTGAGGTGAGTGTACATGTCTATAACAGGAGGTTCAGAGAGGTGAGTGTACATGTCTATAACAGGAGGTTCAGTGAGGTTCAGTGAGGTGAGTGTACATGTCTATAACAGGAGGTTCAGAGAGGTTCAGTGAGGTTCAGTGAGGTGAGTGTGCATGTCTATAACAGGAGGTTCAGTGAGGTGAGTGTGCATGTCTATAACAGGAGGTTCAGTGAGGTGAGTGTGCATGTCTATAACAGGAGGTTCAGTGAGGTGAGTGTACATGTCTATAACAGGAGGTTCAGAGAGGTGAGTGTGCATGTCTATAACAGGAGGTTCAGAGAGGTGAGTGTACATGTCTATAACAGGAGGTTCAGTGAGGTGAGTGTGCATGTCTATAACAGGAGGTTCAGTGAGGTGAGTGTGCATGTCTATAACAGGAGGTTCAGTGAGGTTCAGTGAGGTGAGTGTGCATGTCTATAACAGGAGGTTCAGTGAGGTGAGTGTACATGTCTATAACAGGAGGTTCAGAGAGGTTCAGTGAGGTGAGTGTGCATGTCTATAACAGGAGGTTCAGTGAGGTGAGTGTACATGTCTATAACAGGAGGTTCAGTGAGGTTCAGTGAGGTGAGTGTGCATGTCTATAACAGGAGGTTCAGTGAGGTTCAGTGAGGTGAGTGTGCATGTCTATAACAGGAGGTTCAGTGAGGTGAGTGTACATGTCTATAACAGGAGGTTCAGAGAGGTTCAGTGAGGTGAGTGTGCATGTCTATAACAGGAGGTTCAGTGAGGTGAGTGTACATGTCTATAACAGGAGGTTCAGAGAGGTGAGTGTACATGTCTATAACAGGAGGTTCAGTGAGGTGAGTGTGCATGTCTATAACAGGAGGTTCAGTGAGGTGAGTGTGCATGTCTATAACAGGAGGTTCAGTGAGGTGAGTGTACATGTCTATAACAGGAGGTTCAGAGAGGTGAGTGTACATGTCTATAACAGGAGGTTCAGTGAGGTGAGTGTGCATGTCTATAACAGGAGGTTCAGTGAGGTGAGTGTGCATGTCTATAACAGGAGGTTCAGTGAGGTGAGTGTGCATGTCTATAACAGGAGGTTCAGTGAGGTGAGTGTACATGTCTATAACAGGAGGTTCAGTGAGGTGAGTGTACATGTCTATAACAGGAGGTTCAGTGAGGTGAGTGTACATGTCTATAACAGGAGGTTCAGTGAGGTGAGTGTGCATGTCTATAACAGGAGGTTCAGTGAGGTGAGTGTACATGTCTATAACAGGAGGTTCAGTGAGGTGAGTGTACATGTCTATAACAGGAGGTTCAGTGAGGTGAGTGTACATGTCTATAACAGGAGGTTCAGTGAGGTGAGTGTGCATGTCTATAACAGGAGGTTCAGGAGGTGAGTGTGCATGTCTATAACAGGAGGTTCAGTGAGGTGCATGATGTGCATGTCTATAACAGGAGGTTCAGTGAGGTGAGTGTGCATGTCTATAACAGGAGGTTCAGTGAGGTGAGTGTACATGTCTATAACAGGAGGTTCAGAGAGGTGAGTGTGCATGTCTATAACAGGAGGTTCAGTGAGGTGAGTGTGCATGTCTATAACAGGAGGTTCAGTGAGGTGAGTGTACATGTCTATAACAGGAGGTTCAGAGAGGTGAGTGTGCATGTCTATAACAGGAGGTTCAGAGAGGTGAGTGTGCATGTCTATAACAGGAGGTTCAGTGAGGTGAGTGTGCATGTCTATAACAGGAGGTTCAGAGAGGTGAGTGTGCATGTCTATAACAGGAGGTTCAGTGAGGTGAGTGTACATGTCTATAACAGGAGGTTCAGAGAGGTGAGTGTACATGTCTATAACAGGAGGTTCAGAGAGGTGAGTGTGCATGTCTATAACAGGAGGTTCAGTGAGGTGAGTGTACATGTCTATAACAGGAGGTTCAGAGAGGTGAGTGTACATGTCTATAACAGAGTTCAGGAGGTTCATGAGGTGAGTGAGTGTCATGTCTATAACAGGAGGTTCAGTGAGGTGAGTGTACATGTCTATAACAGGAGGTTCAGAGAGGTGAGTGTGCATGTCTATAACAGGAGGTTCAGTGAGGTGAGTGTGCATGTCTATAACAGGAGGTTCAGTGAGGTGAGTGTGCATGTCTATAACAGGAGGTTCAGTGAGGTGAGTGTGCATGTCTATAACAGGAGGTTCAGTGAGGTGAGTGTGCATGTCTATAACAGGAGGTTCAGAGAGGTGAGTGTGCATGTCTATAACAGGAGGTTCCTGATTACATCTAGATTTGGATACATGATAATATAGTTCTTATTACGCTCTGGCTTCTATGACAGACTATTCTGAAGAGTCTGTTTGACTCATTATCATCTCATTACAACAAAGCAGGATTTTCTCAAATCTTCTAATCTTCTGGAAATATACAAGGCATCAGATGTCTGATTTATAACAAGAACATGTTGTATATCCATTAACTGAATGCAAATGGAAATATGTAAATAACACTTCTAGGCACGCAAAGCACTTTACATCCATTAACGACCAGTGACATTCACATTGGGCTGAAACCAGATTCAAACCAAATGTTGACAAAAAACAAACATGAAAATAATAATGGTAAAGGATGGAGCTCTACAATATTCAGTCATAGCTGTCATCCATGGAAAGGTCATCATCATTATAAGTTCAGCTTCAGTTAATCTTCAGGGAGCAGCAGTTTCCCTCTTTAACCACAGACTGCAGGATGCGGCCATAGTCTCTGCTAGAATATGCATTTACATGATTTACATATAGTCTCTGCTAGAATATGCATTTACATGATTTACATATAGTCTCTGCTAGAATATGCATTTACATGATTTACATATAGTCTCTGCTAGAATATGCATTTACATGATTTACATATAGTCTCTGCTAGAATATGCATTTACATGATTTACATATAGTCTCTGCTAGAATATGCATTTACATGATTTACATATAGTCTCTGCTAGAATATGCATTTACATGATTTACATATAGTCTCTGCTAGAATATGCATTTACATGATTTACATATAGTCTCTGCTAGAATATGCATTTACATGATTTACATATAGTCTCTGCTAGAATATGCATTTACATGATTTACATATAGTCTCTGCTAGAATATGCATTTACATGATTTACATATAGTCTCTGCTAGAATATGTATTTACATGATTTACATATAGTCTCTGCTAGAATATGCATTTACATGATTTACATATAGTCTCTGCTAGAATATGCATTTACATGATTTACATATATCTACAAACTAATGATGTTGGATATTGTCCTGTCAGAAGGACTGAATAATCACACATAATGTAACTGCTGCCTCTATTCTCTCATTCAGAAAACATATACATCTCTACATTCTCCATTCTCCATGGACAGCATCAGGACTCTCTGATGCTAACTCTCTGATGCTAACAGCTGATGTAGATCAGGACTCTCTGATGCTAACTCTCTGATGCTAACTCTCTGATGCTAACAGCTGATGTAGATCAGGACTCTCTGATGCTAACTCTCTGATGCTAACTCTCTGATGCTAACTCTCTGATGCTAACTCTCTGATGCTAACTCTCTGATGCTAACTCTCTGATGCTAACTCTCTGATGCTAACTCTCTGATGCTAACTCTCTGATGCTAACTCTCTGATGCTAACTCTCTGATACTAACTCTCTGCTGCTAACAGCTGATGTAGATCAGGACTCTCTGATGCTAACTCTCTGATGCTAACTCTCTGATGCTAACAGCTGATGTGGTCACAGACTTTTCTCTTCAGAGCTTTGATGTCAATGCAACGAACGCTTCTTATAAAGAACTGTGAGAAAATCCATGAACATTCCAGAGTGGACGAGTAATCACTGAGAGCAGCGTCAACTGACTGCAGCAGGAACAGAACGAGACCGACCTGTGTCAACTGACTGCAGCAGGAACAGAACGAGACCGACCTGTGTCAACTGACTGCAGCAGGAACAGAACGAGACCGACCTGTGTCAACTGACTGCAGCAGGAACAGAACGAGACCGACCTGTGCAACTGACTGCAGCAGGAACAGAACGAGACCGACCTGTGTCAACTGACTGCAGCAGGAACAGAACGAGACCGACCTGTGTCAACTGACTGCAGCAGGAACAGAACGAGACCGACCTGTGTCAACTGACTGCAGCAGGAACAGAACGAGACCGACCTGTGTCAACTGACTGCAGCAGGAACAGAACGAGACCGACCTGTGTCAACTGACTGCAGCAGGAACAGAACGAGACCGACCTGTGTCAACTGACTGCAGCAGGAACAGAACGAGACCGACCTGTGTCAACTGACTGCAGCAGGAACAGAACGAGACCGACCTGTGTCAACTGACTGCAGCAGGAACAGAACGAGACCGACCTGTGTCAACTGACTGCAGCAGGAACAGAACGAGACCGACCTGTGTCAACTGACTGCAGCAGGAACAGAACGAGACCGACCTGTGTCAACTGACTGCAGCAGGAACAGAACGAGACCGACCTGTGTCAACTGACTGCAGCAGGAACAGAACGAGACCGACCTGTGTCAACTGACTGCAGCAGGAACAGAACGAGACCGACCTGTGTCAACTGACTGCAGCAGGAACAGAACGAGACCGACCTGTGTCAACTGACTGCAGCAGGAACAGAACGAGACCGACCTGTGTCAACTGACTGCAGCAGGAACAGAACGAGACCGACCTGTGTCAACTGACTGCAGCAGGAACAGAACGAGACCGACCTGTGTCAACTGACTGCAGCAGGAACAGAACGAGAACGAGACCGACCTGTGTCAACTGACTGCAGCAGGAACAGAACGAGACCGACCTGTGTCAACTGACTGCAGCAGGAACAGAACGAGACCGACCTGTGTCATCGCTCCAGAAAATAGTGAAATAAATCAATATTATCACATAATCCCTAATTGCACACGTCACACACACGTCATACACACGTCATACACACGTCACACACACGTCACACACACGTCACACACACGTCATACACACGTCACAAACACGTCATACACACGTCATACACACGTCACACACACGTCATACACACGTCACACACACGTCATACACACGTCACACACACGTCATACACACGTCATACACACGTCACACACACGTCACACACACGTCATACACACGAAACACACGTCATACACACGTCACACACACGTCATACACACGTCACACACACGTCATACACACGTCACACACACGTCATACACACGTCACACACATGTCATACACACCTCATACACATGTCATACACACCTCACACACATGTCATACACACGTCATACACACGTCATACACACGTCACACACATGTCACACACACGTCACACACATGTCTCACACATGTCATACTGACGTCATACACATGTCATACACACGTCTCACACACGTCATACACACGTCTCACACACGTCTCACACACGTCATACACACGTCATACACACGTCACACACACGTCATACACACGTCTCACACACGTCTCACACACGTCATACACACGTCACACACATGTCACACACATGTCACACACACGTCAAACACACGTCATACACACGTCTCACACACGTCATACACACGTCATACACACGTCACACACACGTCACACACACGTCATACACACGTCACACACATGTCACACACACGTCACACACACATGTCTCACACACGTCATACACATGTCTCACACACGTCATACACATGTCACACACACGTCATACACATGTCACACACGTCATACACATGTCTCACACACGTCTCACACACGTCATACACACGTCTCACACACGTCATACCCATGTCATACCCACGTCTCACACACGTCACACACACGTCTCACACACGTCACACACACGTCATACACACGAAACACGTCATACACATGTCACACACACGTCACACACATGTCTCACACACGTCAAACACACGTCTCACACACGTCACACACACGTCTCACACACGTCATACACATGTCTCACACACGTCATACACATGTCATACACATGTCACACACACGTCATACACATGTCATACACATGTCACACACGTCATACACATGTCTCACACACGTCATACACACGTCTCACACACGTCTCACACACGTCATACACATGTCACACACACGTCATACACATGTCACACACACGTCATACACATGTCATACACATGTCTCACACACGTCATACACACTTCACCTTGGAGAGACCCATGAGGAAAATGCCGTTAGACTTATTAGATTTAAGCATGTTTATTGATTGAGCATGTTTGGCGCCCTAGGCCCGGGAGGGATGCTGTTGAGCACGGCGCTTGCTCGCGTGCATAATCCCCAAAAAGCGGGCCTGCGATTGGGATAGCAGGACGTACTGCGCGGGCCTGAGAGCATGAGTGAGAGGCTTCTCGCACGGTCGCTCAGCCAGGCTGCGTCCGCTGGGGCCCGCGTTTGTTTAGGCAGAGCGAGCTGAGAATATGAGCGTGCTCATATTCAGCTAGACGCTGAAGCAGAGGAATCTTTGAGCAAGCTGAGAACATGCGCGCACGCGCACGTTCAGCCAGACGCTGCAGCAGAGGAGTCTTTGAGCGAGCTGTGAATATGAGATGCACGCTCATATTCGCCGGACGCTGAAGCAGAGGAATCTTTAAGCGAGCTGAGAACATGCGCGCACGCGCATGTTCAGCCAGACGCTGAAGCAGAGGAATCTTTGAGCGTTTGAGGAAAGTGCGTGCCGCCACCAGAATCTTATTGCTTACTTGCTTTGCTGGGAGCTTATGAGGAAGCCGGTAGACGTTGTGCTGCCATGATAGCGGTCGCATCTGGCCTGATGTAGGTGGAGAAAGCCGAAGAGGACCAGCGCCCCAGCTGTTGCAGAGAAGAGTGGGGGAGCCCCAGCGAGGTCGCGCGCGTGGCAGCGCCTATCCTGAAGGAGTGGGCTGTGTAGAGCTGGGGAGATAATTGCAGAGGAGCAGTAGGGATCTTAGCTGAGCTCTGAACCAGGTTGCTGTTATGGGAAGGTTGACTGGAGTGAGAATTAGAGGTCCGTTAAAATCTCCTTTTTGCCGCGGAGGCGAGTGTAACGCATCATGGACCTGTAGGGGCAGAGAGATGTGTCGAAGCGAGCTATTATTGTGTTGCAGGCGCCTCTGATCTTTGAATGTTTGAGATGA